GAGGCGCTTGCAGTTACGTTCCCCCAAATCTTTCGCTAATGGTGGATTTCTCGACCGAAAAGCTGGTTTTTTCAACGCGCCCTTTGCGGCGTCTGGTGCGCGAAAAGGCTTTAAAACCTTTATACCTGCCACCTGCTGCGTTGACTACATGGAAGAGACTTTTTCTCAGATTCTACTCCCACAAAAAATGTGCAAACAATTCATTTTGGTTTATCGCGCGTGAATATAATTTATTACACTGCTTCAGGCTCGGTAAACGATTTATTTCAAAAGTTTTGAGCTTCCCCTCCACCACCCCCAAACATTTGGGGTGAATAATGAATCGTCCCTTATAATGGTGGGGAAGAATTTCTGATGCCCTACAAGACTAGAAATATGTACACCCGGCATTGTTTCGGTCATGCTAATATTAGGGAGCTTAAGATACAAACGTTTTCGGGGCGACGGCGACGTGGAGACCGATTAAGATTGGGGCGAGATTGACTGCGCATGCGGCCCCGCTGTCGCCCTCACGTCGGCGACGTGAGATCAGTGAGTTTGCTGTCGTGGTGAAAACGTGAGTTGATCTTGTTCTTTTTTTTAATATACTGCCAATTTTGTCACTTAATTGTATTAAAGTGATTGCATTATCACATTTCGCACAAATCATCACACGATGTCTCGGCCAACTCAAGAGACCTTTTGTTTTCTCTTTTGGTTAAAATCACCAAAGCAACAGTTAAGTCCAAATCGTCGAGGTAAGCTTTGGGCACGTACGCGTACGGTTCTTGAATGCTTAACATAAAAGGGAATTTTTGCTTGCTGCCATTCCTTCTATCAACTCGTAGATGCACCTCGAAAACGTACAACTCAGATCTACGAACATTTTTATATGGAAAATTGAGGTTTTTAGACGGAAACATTTCATACAAAACCAGGAACTCTTCATCGCTAATAAGATTAGCGTCATAGTAAAGGACGAGGAGATGGCGGAATTCTCCAAACGTAGCCATGCTACGACAAAAAAGCCCTAATTTATAAAGCGCAGCAATTAATTAAACTCGACGAAGTTGCAAAGGCCGGCCGTCATCAGAATCTTAATAACTTAAATTATGGCACGAAAACAGGAACCTCTGGCCCAGTCTACCTGGGTTGTCACGTCGCCGTCGCCCCAAAAACGTCTGTATCTTAAGCTCCCTATTGGATTTAAGCACACGACGCAGGAACATTTCTTAGTTACCGATAGTTTGACGGAAATAAGTCGGCTTTTATTCCAACCAAACGTTCCTAAAAATTACATCCATAATACTTTGCGCGCTTCGACTCTGTCGATGTTCACAAGTTTTTTAGACGATTTATATTTATTTAGCCGGTCTTACGCTTACGTAATCAATTTAATGTTGTAGGTGCAGCAGTTAAATTACTCACTTGTACCCTGACAGACCATTACTTCTCTGAAGGGAGGGGGGGAGAGAAAAAATTTGTTTTGCATACAAACAACTTCTTATTTTCCTTTTTGCATTAGCAAAAAATTATTTGGGGGATTGCATACAACTTATTTCGGTTTATTGCGCTTGCAAATAATCCATTTTCGTGTTTACAGTTCTGTAAACAATTGATTTCAAAACTTTCCATTCTCCACTACACGGTGGAATGCTCTGGAAAATCAAATGAGATCAATTCTAGACGCTGACGCTTTTCAAAAGTCATTTAAGTGTATTTTTAAGCCACAAATATTATAATGATGTACTATGTAGAATTCTTATTGTTGTAAATATGTAGAAATCTTACATTAGTCTTCTTATAATTAGTTAGGAATTTGGTTTTATTGTATTTAGTTAGGAATTTAGTTTTATTGTTTGTACATGACCACATCAGCTTTTGCTGAACTTTTTTTATCGTGTTTAAATAAATGCTGCTGTTGTTGTTGTTGTTGTTGTTGTCCCACCCTACGTGCAAATATAGTATAGTATACATTCGACTGGCACTCACTGCCAGGAGTTTTCGGAATGAAAACTGTATATGATATGATGCCTTTTTGTTGCATAAAAGCCTAGCCTAAAACTAAATTTATTGGGATGACTACCGGTTTAGAAAAGCACAGATATTTCGATGACCCTAAAAGCAGGAACGGTGGAACGGCGGAATGGCGGAATGGCGGAATGGCGGAAAATGATCCCAAATCCTAAAACACGGAACGGCGGAAAATGACTCCAAATCCTAAAACATGAAATCGCGGAAAATGACACCAAACTCTAAAACACGGAATGGATGTCAGGGCATGTTGCACGAGTTTTCTACAAAGACACTCAATCGCTTGGCTCAGTCATCCCCACGACGATAACACGCGTGACTAAAATGAAGTATTTGGGGTCATTTTCCGACGTTTCATGTTTTAGGATTTGGGATCATTTTCCGTCATTCCACCGTTACTTGGCCGGTCCGGCTTTTAGGGTCGACGTCGCCCCTATTATTTCACAGTATTTTACAGTTGTAGCAGCACACAGTCTGGCTGTAGTTAGATAAACATTTCCTACATATCCCCAGAAAACCAAAATAATAATACTATTTTAACTCGGAAGCGTGACAAAACCTACATTTTATCACCTGCTGTGTTCATTTTAAGAAAGTAGCAGGTATTCCGACACAGCATAATTACAATTAGTTACCTTGTGCAGTCTCGCAAAGCACACCGAAATGTAAGTATCTTTTTCTAGACATCTCCCTGGATATCCCTCTGTACAGTTTCTGTCGGCAAGAGTTCCATTTAACCCCCGTACATAAATTATGCATAGAGTGTTGCAAAGAAACGTTTATACTTAGTCTCTATGAAATGAATGCATAATTAATGTATGGGGTTATATGGAACTCTTTCCTTTCTCTCTGCTCTGACACTAAGGATATTTACAAATTTTACTTGGCCGCCATCCCAAGCCAAGCCAAACGTAATTTACCGTCTTCCTCTACTCCCTCCCGAGAGGCTTTGAAACAACCTTACAAGTGCTCTTTTGTGCTGCTAGAATAATTCTTCACAATAAAAATAGATCTAACGCTCTTGTTTCGAGCAGAAAGGTTTAATTCTTTCTTAGAATATTGCTGAAAAGAACAAACACATTTAAAATCGCCCATCTTTACGAAATGTCTGCTGGTATGGCTATGCATGGAAAGCGTGGGAAATGTCGGTGTCTGTGCATGTCAAGCAATCCGGTCAGCGCTTTAACAAAGTAATACCGTCGGAAAACAAAAAAAGCCAAGATATTTTGAATTTGCATTTTCGATATAGTTGATCATTACTTTGCCTTTAATTCCAACAAATAAGAACTTTTCTCACTTAAAAAGGCCTAGACATTGCGGTGCAATAAAAAATGATAGTAAAATAAAAGCGCTCGGGCTTCCCATATAATTTTTAAATAAGATAAAAGTGGAATGAAACATGAAAATGGTTTTCCAAATACTCCTAAAGATCTTCTTGAAGTTTTCCGTGCGTTATGGATACCTGTAAACAAACGGACTGTGTATTACGATACTCTGGCACGTGTCATGTCACCCTCCCAGGCACGCCTGACTGCCGTATTTCACGCCAGGAAACAGACCACTTTCATAAATGGCTGCCGTATAAATATTCTTTTGTTTAAATTTAAATTAGCCCTTCTGGCCTCGCTTGAGATAATGTATTCTTTTGAATTCTTGTACTGGAGAACGAGGCCAGTAGGGCTAATTTAAATTTAAACAAAAGAATATTAATCCGGCAGCCATTTATGAAAGTGGTCTATTATAGCTCGAAATTGGGCCAACTTTCATTTTGGCCGCGGAGGATCTGGGTTTCAGTTAAGATGACGATCACTCTGAAACTACCGAAGGCGAACTAATTATTTAAATAAAAGAGGCACTGAAGCAAGAGAAATCAAAATTTGAGCGGTGAATATCAATCGCATAAAAACTAAGAAACTTAGATACTATAATCAAAGAGCTTAACAAGCTTGCTAAAGCGGTAGTGAAAAGGAAGTTTGGAGGTATTCGTGAGCGACCTAAATATAGTATCGGCCAATTTTACCCCATTCTAGAAAGAAGCTTGATTCGCGCAAAGACTGTAATATAACGCCGTCTTAGCTTAAGAATAAGCAAACTACATCCGAGGATGGTTTGCCTCCAACTTCTTGTGCCACATGAGGTCTTCGATCTTTTGTAAAAGGAGATTCTTAGTGTAACAAGGTATGGGATAGAGGTTGAAACCAAACCGGGATCAGTGGCCATAACATGTTCAAGCCTGAGAAGGTTATGCAACCTTTTTTTACCAATTTGAAGATTATGGTGGGTTCAGAAAAAAACTTGGTGAAGGGAAAGGAGAGGCAAAGCTTATTGTCAATGATCAGAAGAAGGGAATTATGATCTACAATGGTAAAGAGGAGATTTCGAGAGCAAAATTTCGCTATGGATACTGGAATTCTTTTGGGATCAGTCAACATTGAATAGAGGACTCAAATTAATGACACTTGCCATTGCTCAATCATTTTCCTTTATTGATTTCAGAGACCAACATCTCAATAGTCCCCGATCAAGTTGTTTTACAAAAATATTTACTCTAACATCTTAAAATTCATCTTTGTTGATTACAATGTGGTTTGTCTGACATAATAGCTAAAAACCAAAATTGCATGGAACATCTAACTGATCAGTTACAGTTTATTGTTTAACTGATAGAGCTGCCATTTATTTAGAATAGTACATCCTTTAATGATAACATGTTATAACAATTACACATTACATGGCCGTGCTGTAAGAAAAACTTTGGCTGCCCCTAGGCATTATTAACAACTATAATTCCAAATCTGTCAGGTAAAAACATAGCCTACATTGCTACACATAATATAATATTATATAGTTAGTCGACTCAATTGAATATATTTTAGTCTTCAAGGGCAGCCGGGTGCTTGCTGTAGTGTATGCGGTTGGTTCATGTAAGCATGCGCACGTGTGCACATTATTCATTCCATGTACTTTTTCGAAATAAAACCGAATACATGACAGTGGTGACGAGGATAAAGTCGTTGGAGACCGTCGAAAATATGACTGCTATCGGGAAGATAGAAAGTTTTGATGAAACAGAGGAGAAATGGGAAACCTATGTAGAATGGGTGGAACAGTTTTTCTTAGCAAACAACATTGATGAAGACCACCGAGTGCCAACCTTGTTGAGCTTGATCGGTAGTAAAACGTACACATTGTTGAGAGATCCTCTTACACCAGATAAACCAGCTACGAAGAGCTTCCAGGAGATCGTCACGACTCTTCAGCAACACTTCAATCTTAAACCATTAGAAATAGCGGAGCGTTTTCGTTTCTACAAACGGATTCAGCGTGAAGAAGAAACTCTCTTGACCTATGTAGCAGACCTGAAGAAATTAGCAACCCACTGTAGCTTTGGGGCCAACCTTAACGAAGCTTTACGAAATAAACTGGTTTGTGGCCTTAGAAATGTGCAGATACAAAAACGTTTGGATTCAGAAGCCAAACTCAAATATTCCAAGGCTTTGGAAATAGCAACGGCTATTCGTGATGCTGCGGAATTACAAATTGAGCTTCAATCAGAACCTCGAGTTGGCAAGATCTCAGATAACCACACACAAGCGCCATCGCCGAACCCCACCACTAAAGTTTGCTATCGATGTTGGGGAGACTCGCAGGCAACGCACAATTGCAGATTCAAGGACCAAATATGTTATCATCGTGGGAAGGTTGGCCATATTTCAAGAGCTTGTCGCTCGAAACAACAAGGTAAGCCAAAACAACCACCGAAACCACCGCTTAACACTCAAGTCCATTCTATTGAGTACAGTGAGAGCGATGAATTTGAAAATGTATTAGGAAGAATAAAGATACACAATGTAACCAAACCGAGCAGTACTGTAATCTGGATCGATCTAAAAGTGGAAGGTAAACCACTGAAAATGGAACTGAACACAAGCTCAGCTGTGTCGATTATACCACATGATTTGTAGAGGGAGAAATTTCACGACAAGCCCTTAAAAGAAACTATATTAATTTTGAAAACCTATACTGGAGAGAACATTTTTCCAGCTGGAGTGCTTAAGGTAAATGTTGAGTACAAAGACCAGCAACCATTGCTGTTGGATCTGTATGTGGTTAAGAACAAGGGCCCTGTGTTGGTGGGAAGGGATTGGCTTTACAAGGTACGCCTAGATTGGTATGCTATTAAGTCATTGAAAGCTTCACAAACCCTACCAACTACTAAGGAGCAGCTGCAAACCATGCTAGACAAATACTCTGATGTTTTTTAAGACAAACTTGGAACGTTCAAATCAGCTAAAGCAAAGCTAACCCTTAAAGAAGATATCCAAGCCCATTTCTGCAAACCTGGTGCTGTGCCCTATGCCTTAAGGCCTAAAGTTGAAGAAGAGCTAAGAAGACTTCAGAATGAAGGAATTGTCACGAAAGTTCAGTGGAGCGAGTGGGCAACACCCATTGGACCCGTCCCAAAGAGAGATGGATCTGTCAGGCTATGTGGTGATTACAAGGGCACGGTAAACCCAGAACTACAGGCTGAACAATATCCCTTACCCTGCATCGAAGATATCTTTGCAAAGCTTGCTGGTGGACAGAAATTCTCAAAGATTGATCTACGCCAGGCATACCACCAACTAGAGATGGAAGAAGATTCCAGAAAATATCTCACCATCAACACACACACATGGGGTTGTTCTAGTACGGTAGATTAGTGTTCGGCATCACTTCAGCACCCGCTATCTGGCAACGCACCATTGATCAAGTGCTGGACGGGACATCTGGCACAAGCTGTATACTTGATGACATGATTATCACTGGCAACAGTGATAAAGTATTCCTGGCTAACTTAGAAGAAATCCTACGACGGCTACCATTTCATGGTTTGAGAGCTAACAAGGTCAAATGTGAGTTTTTCAAGGAGAGGATAACTTATTGTGGACATGATATTGACAAGAATGGCCTTCACAAGTGAACAGCAAAAGTAGAAGCGGTTTTGGAAGCACCACGCCCAAACGACGTAGCTGAAGTAAGATCATTTCTCGGGCTAATCAACTGCTACCACAGGTTCTTACCTAACCTGTCGACAACCGTCCACTCGTTGACTCAGCTCTTGGGAAAGGACCACCAATGGACGTGGACAGAGCAATGCGAGGCAGCATTCCACAAGGTGAAAGAAATGATCATTTCAGAGCAAGTTCTACACATTATGATACCAGTCTGCCACTTAGACTTGCTTGTGATGCATCCCCCCTAGGCATTGGAGCGGTGCTTTCTCGCGTGGTTAACGATGGTACCGAGCGACCTATAGCTTTTGCTTCAAGGACACTGACAAAAACTGAGCAAAAGTATGCGCAGATTAACAAGGAAGCTTTGTCAATAATCTGGGGTGTCAAGAAGTTTCACATGTATCAGTTTAGCCGTCCTTTCACTCTATACACAGATAATCGGCCATTAACTTCAATCTTTCATCCGCGGAAGAGCATTCCCGTGGTCACCGTAGCACGTCTTCAACATTATGCCTTGTTCCTGGCGGGCTATGACTACTCCACTCAATACAAGAACACTAAGGTTCACAGCAATGCAGATGGTCTTTCACGCCTACCACTGGTAACAGAAGCCAAAGATGAAGAAGAAGTTGACCCAGTGGGTGTATTTAATTTGATGCAGTTTGACCCTTTGCCAGTCACAGTGGACAACGTTAGACGAGAGACACAAAGAGATCCTGTCTTGGCCCAAGTGCATGAAATGACCAGGAAGGGATGGCCAAACAACCATGACCCTGTACTCAACCCCTATTTTGTTCACAAAGATGAGATCACGTTACAATCAGGCTGTTTGATGTGGGGAATAAGAGTAATAATACCCCCAAAACTACGCCCTCAAGTTCTCAAGGAACTTCATCAGGGACATATGGGAGTCGTGAAGATGAAGGCCCTGGCCCGAAGCTACACCTGGTGGCCTGGAATCGATAAAGAAATTGAACTGTCTGCTAAGTCCTGCCCAGGTTGCCAACTAGTACAGAGGGAGCCCAGTACAGTGCCAGTGCACCCATGGGAATGGCCTTCGTTGCCCTGGCAACGAATTCATATCGATTTTGCAGGTCCTTTCCTTAACAGCATGTTTTTAGTGGTAGTGGATGCACATTCACGTTGGCTAGAGATAGAGAAAATGAACACTACAACTTCAGCGAAAACCATTGAAACCCTTCAGAAGTTGTTTGCAAGATATGGCGTACCAGCCCAGTTAGTGAGTGATAATGGGCCTCAGTTCACATCAGAAGAGTTCCAGCAATTCCTTAAGAGAAACGGCATCAAACACATCACCTCAGCACCTTATCACCCTGCCACCAACGGCCTAGCAGAACGTGCTGTCCAGAGTTTCAAGAATGCCATGAAGAGTGAAACTGAAGTGACATCTTTGAACATTAAGTTGGCGAGATTTTTGCTAACTTATAGAATCACCCCCCACTCAACCACCGGAGAGCCACCGTCCCAGTTGTTTTTGGGAAGAAGATTACGCACTCGACTGGACTTGTTAAAACCAGATCTCTTCATCCAGGTAAACAACCGTCAGATAGACCAGTCTGTTGCCAAGAGTGGTTCTGTAACAAGGCATTTTGCCATTGGTCAGAGGGTGATAGCACGAAATTACACTGGAAAGTCAAAGTGGGTACCCGGTATTGTACGTGCACGATTNCCCTGGCAACGAATTCATATCGATTTTGCAGGTCCCTTCCTTAACAGCATGTTTTTAGTGGTAGTGGATGCACATTCACGTTGGCTAGAGATAGAGAAAATGAACACTACAACTTCAGCGAAAACCATTGAAACCCTTCAGAAGTTGTTTGCAAGATATGGCGTACCAGCCCAGTTAGTGAGTGATAATGGGCCTCAGTTCACATCAGAAGAGTTCCAGCAATTCCTTAAGAGAAACGGCATCAAACACATCACCTCAGCACCTTATCACCCTGCCACCAACGGCCTAGCAGAACGTGCTGTCCAGAGTTTCAAGAATGCCATGAAGAGTGAAACTGAAGTGACATCTTTGAACATTAAGTTGGCGAGATTTTTGCTAACTTATAGAAACATCCCCCACTCAACCACCGGAGAGCCACCGTCCCAGTTGTTTCTGGGAAGAAGACTACGCACTCGACTGGACTTGTTAAAACCAGATCTCTTCATCCAGGTAAACAACCGTCAGATAGACCAGTCTGTTGCCAAAAGTGGCTCTGTAACAAGGCATTTCTGCATTGGTCAGAGGGTGATAGCACGAAATTACACTGGAAAGTTAAAGTGGGTACCCGGTATTGTCCGTGCACGATTGGGACCCCTGTCTTATGAAGTGGAGATTGGGCCTGACCTAGTTTGGCGTGGGCACACGGATCAACTCTGAGACTCCAATGTTCCTGTTGCAGACAGACACCTGCCAGTTTCATACCCCTTGCCTTTTCCACTCCCGGCCACGACCACTGATCATCCAGTAGCTGAATCACCTAAACAGACAGAAGTTGTCTCGAGGGAGACAGACTGCCAGTCACCAAAATGCAATCCAGTGGCTGAATCGTCCGTTAGCAGGTCACCGAGCCAGATTGAACATGTTCCTGTTAGACGATACCCTTCCAGAGTGCGGAAACCCCCAGTTCGGATGGATCTTTGAACATTTAACTGCCTTTTTTCGGGGGAGGGGGAGGTTAAGAATTAATATTTACTGATAGCATGTTGCGTTGAGCTTTTGGAAACTTTTAAATTCTTAAGGACTTTAGGGGTCAAGAGACTGGCTTACAGGGAGGTGTTGTAGTGTATGCGGTTAGTTTTTGTAAGCATGCGCACGTGTGCGCATCACTCATTTCATGTGCTTTTCGAAATAAAACCGAATACATGACAGCCACGTTCGCATCAAAACATCAAAGGACAACATTATAAACACCAAGCGTAACTGTCCTCTCTGATCAACGAGGACACCTATTCGACTTTAATGTCGTTCCTGTAAAGCAGAACAACATCTTTTTTCACAATAACATGAATGCCATACATTCCAAGAAGCTCGCTAACTTGAAAAGCATTGGCTCTCAAAAAGCTGACATCGACTAGAGTAACTGGGTTGTGAGCCTCTCCAAGAAACCACTTTTACCAGAGGAACGATCCCTCTTGGAGAAAGGCCCTAAACTTGCCCCAACGCCAACTAACATACCTCATAAGAACATTGTGATATTCGGATATACAGCGATAAAAACCCTCGATGTCTTTTGATTTGAATATTTTAATCAACACACTACTCACATGGCAGCCAACGAGTATCACAACAACAACTTTCCCTAGGCATCACGGGATGCCTACAAACACAACCTTTTCGCACTTCCGGTACAATACACTACAAACATCCTGGCTGAAATTGAAGCTGCCATCTGCCACCTGCCTGATGATTCCAAAGATACAGTTAGAACAAGTTCTGCTGCCATTCTTCATAGGGAACGACTACCGGC